CTCAACCTGTTTATATTTATGATGTGTCCATCTAAAATACCATATTTATTCATCGATTTGTATGATTCTCTACAGCAGGTAGTTACTGCTATAACGTTGAGGTCGAACAGATATCTCCAGTCGTTTGTTTCACCGTCTAAAACACGAGTGTTGAATAAAATTATATTTAAACCCATCTATAGGTAGATATAACAAAAAGTATTTTTGTTTTTTCCCTTTACATAAATTTYTCAGTATTTTCGTACTGATCCATTTCTAATCATTCAATGATCATTGATGATATATCCTAATTTAAAAATGTCATCAAAATATACAATAAGTAATAAAGTAAAAATATGCTATATGTTAGTTTCAACAAACGTCCCCACACAACTCGGATACACCAAAAATTATTCTATACGCTAACGCAATTTGTATCGGCGTAAATAAATTCTCACAAAATAGTTGAAAATACTGTGTTCTTAATTTGTATTCACTTTAATAATTGGAAACCATATAGATTACCACTAATACCATATCCCAGAATATATAGATGTCAAATATATCAGCTATTAATAGAAAATAAATCCATACGTCTTGATTTGGACTATAAAATCACAACAATATTCATACTGTTAACTTTAAGTCAATAACGTTTTATATTTTCTTGTAAGTGAACATTTTAAGTTAATTTTTGTGTCATTTTATTTTTTTTTTAGTTATACAGGGTGTATCACGAAGTTCTGACATATGATCCATATGTCCACATGATATATTTGTCAGAACTTTGTGATACATCCTGTATATAGGTACCTACTTTTATAAAATGTATTAAGCATTTTTGAACTTCTTTAGAAGCTTAATGCCAGGAAAAATTAAACTCCCCTTGACTGTTGACTCTCACACATTTTACAATAAAAATTGACACAGTGCCTGCAGTACATAAATACATATTAAATACTCACCTAACATTTTGCTTTTAATCATTGTGCCGSCGTTATTGATCATAATAGACACTCCTTGGCCGATGGTGGTATCGATCCACTTGAACACATTCAATATTTCCGATTCTTGAGTCAAATCACATTGAACTGGGTAGATTTTAGCCACAGATGACTGCAACTTGTCGGAAAGTTCCTGTACGCAGGAAACGGATTCAAGGTGGTTATTAATATTTCGTTATCTCTATGATTCAATATTTAAAAAAAGTTTAAATTCTATAAAAAAATTTGGAAACCTCGTCAACTTCCAAGCACTAAATAATTGATATAATATAACACTATGAGGTTTTCATTTCAAAGTACATAATATATATATAAGCATATAATAGCCTATTATAAACCTATTATTAATAGGTACTTACAAACATTTAATTTTTATAACTTTTATAATATATTTTTTTTTAACCTGTAGGTACCTATCTACGGTTATCATAATAGCTTAATGATCTGTTACATTCTTAAATAAAATTTTAACTGTTTCAAGTATAACAACGTTTATACTTATATTACTTACTAGTGTAGTGATTTTAGAATATGTGCTGTACATAAAATAAATGATGWATCTGAATCTGAGATAAGAACAATCAAATAAATATATTATAKWAKATTTATTGTAGGTATATGTACTAAAAAAAAACTAATTTAGTCGGAAAAGTTCCTAAAACACCACTACTGCAACAACTTAATATGTGTTATTTCAGTATTACTTATACAACATGGATAATTTATGTTCAGCAAAACTAATTTTGTGATTTGTGTTGTTAGAGTTTAATTTTAATTTTAAAATGAGTACCAAACATGCATGTTGGTTTTTTAGGTTTTTAAAAGTAGATAATGAAGAAAAACTTGTGAACGATGTAGAGCCATGAAGTTGATTGCTGTGGCATTCAACCTAAAAAGTCTATAAAAAGTCAATAGAAGAAAACTAGAAGTGGTATGAATATAATAGTGGTTTAACCACCATCTGAATTCTAATAGATGCCAATCAATAGTTTAACATTATTTATATATTGTGTTTAATATACGTAGCATTACTTGTATCAAGTTGATTCTCCGAGCCACAGCGACGATTTTCAAAGGGTATTTTGACAGTTCAACCACGATTGACTTTCCGATCCCTGAACTAGCTCCTGTCACCAAGACAACTCTGTCAATCCAACGATCCATTTCTTTTGTCCGAATAAAATATATATTGTATTCAAAATAAATCCTACCACAATAGTAGTGTATACTGTAGTGACAAGYGCTGCTACAGAAAATAAACGATCTGAATGACAGTATTTCGTCAGAGCAGTTAGTTCCAATATCATTTACTGACCTTTTGGTTGTATAACATATTATACAGTTTAGATTAAGTCATTATTTAACTGTATTATGCGTATACCATCGATACATCATTATACGTCCATAGAATAAGATTTAAATATTTTTATTTTTTTTGTTCACGTTGAATCAGCTGTATTATAACATCATAATTTTATACAACTAAGTTTAGATGACACAAATCTGGGAAACATTAAAAATAAAAAATAATAGAAAACGGATTATAATATCATTTAATTAGTGGGGGTGTGGTCCATGGTTAGATGTGGGATGATTATTTTTTAATTATTATTTCTATAATAAATACCAAACATAACATAAATCAAAAACAAACTCAAAATTTGAAAATTTAAAATAGGCGATAAATAACACAATATAAGATCAAGAATATTTTATGAATAATATTATATAAAATAAGAAAAATAGATAGGTACCTATATCAATATTATGATATATTATTTATAATAATTTCTTTTACAATTGAATATTTAGTGAAAATGTCTACGGTTAGATATTAAATTTTGAGTCAGAAAAAAATCGATTTTCCAGTAACCAGATGTTACAATATTACTCTCACATTTTTTATTTTTCACATCGGTAAGATGGTAACACATAAATACATTCTTTAAAAAAAAATATTCTATCTATGGTGAAACTTTGGCAATAGGTCATGTGCGATGTGCCATAATATAATAGCATTCAAAAATATTTCAGAGAAGGGATTTTCTGACGAACATAGTAACGGGAAACAGCAGCAGTTTTTTGTAAATGTTTATGGTAGATAGGTTGTAGATACGTAATTAGTATTTGAATTTAAAAGTATAGGTAGGTACCTACTTTTTAACAAATAACAATTGGCATAGACGGCATAGTTTTACGGTTGGGTTTAAAGCATTGATTTTTCATGGAGCGGATTCATGAATGGCATAGGCGTAAGTATGGCTTTTAATCTAGGCGAATGAAGGGAGGTTTAAATCTCGCTAAAAATTATTTCTTATTATAATTGACCTTTTTTTGGGTAATATTTGCTAAATTAATAAAATAATCAAAAACATTTTTATAATTTATTACATGTAATTTATACATATTATATAATGTACGTAAATAACATATAATTATTAATTATATAATATAAAGAGATATAGGTATAGGTACTTGTATCTGTATTGAATTATGCGTAATATACCTAATATCAATAACCTATAATAGGCTATAACCTTACACATTATATCATAAGCTTATTACAGTCAACCTTTATCTAAAAGACTTTCATGTACGCAGTACTTATATAAAAACAAAACAATGATAAAATAACACTATCATATCATAATATACCTATTTTCGTCGAGGTAGATAATCTGCAATGAGAATAATTTATAGATTAATTATATAATAATTGTTATTATTTATTGTGATTAACGGTCTAAAGGTTAACGCTCTTGTGACTTGTAGCCTGTAGGTGGTACATTATTGAATAAAAAGTGATGGCAGATATTCGACCTTAAAATTTAAGAGGGGTATTTAACTAGCTGGGAGTTAGACTAAGTTTCATCCATATCGGGTGCATCGTACCTACGTGAGCACCACAGAAACGCTCGGATCTGCGGAGCACAATCATTAGGTTAACATTAGGTTTGACAAAATAACCGTGCAAGGTGCAACACAGCCCACGGGACACTGACGACAATATATAATTGTAAATTCGCGAATTTGTCACAYGTRTACTGAGGAATTCACAATTTTATTGGCATCGGTGTAGCCGTGATGCAGTTGACTGCCTCCGTCGAAAATCACATACGGATACGATTTACTTAAATGCGCACACGATTCTTAAGTTCCACCAACAAACTTGAGCACCCACGACGACGGCCACGAGTCAAAATTTCAGCGGCGATGGCAACCGACAATAAAATGTAGCCGATACGAACTACAACACGTAACGTCRTGTGATCAAAATTAAAAATGTACATCAACCGAACCGTTCGTCGTGTCAACAACACACGAAAAATATCGTTGTTTGAGTATAGGTCATATATGCAAATTGCAAGGGTAGCGACGGAAGTGAGTCGTTCCATTCAAACGGATTTCCATACGCTATATAACATATCGTGCACCATATCAATATAAAACAATCCACGCTAGAACAATCAGAGCGGTGTTCAATCTTAACGTTTAACAAACCCACCGTCCCTTGACAATATAGGTAATCTTATATTACGAACTTTATCAAGTAGCGCAACTAAATATGATAGCCGAACGAATCTTTTAGTCCGGTTCCATAACGAGTGGCTTTTAAGTTTCGTTGCAGTCATCATACCGGGCCCGTTGAATCACAGCCAAGCCCCACATCACATTTTTGGCCCTGGTACCGCCGTACAGAATGAAATCCGGGCTCCTCTCAAATAAAAATCAATTTTTAAACATTTTTCTGATATGTAATGAAGTGATTGTTTACATGAACGCCGAACTCCTCTAAAGTCCGGGCCCCGATACCATGAGTCCTTCCGACACCCCCCCTTTGGGGGGGCACTGAATTCACAACAGCCGCGGGTTACCGGTTCCCGAAGACGATCGTCTGCTGCATCTGTCAGGTGGATCGTCTGAAAATCGGGACGTTATTAAACTCTGCAAACAATCGCATCGCGACCCCAATAACGAAATGTAGGCCATAGGCCCATAGAACTGCATCCTCTTTGTGGCGAACTCACGCGGCTTGCCCATACGTCCGACGAGGGCCGACAGGGRATCGGCTAAGACTAACGACAGTACCGTTGAGTTGGCAGATGGTAAACCGACGATCTCCGTGCATCSATCTTGTCTGTAGCTCAACTCGCCTGAGTTAACCATATAATAGAGTTAGTTAGGTTTTGGTAACCATTACTCTATGGTCTGAACACCGATGTTCGACATTGATCGGGAAATTAAATTTTAGAGTCCATATAGGTAAAAGAATACCTTGTGCATCAAGTCCGTCGAGGACGGTAACTGCATGGATGGCGATTTCGGACGACGTATTCTGAAGTACTGTGATATTCGTCGTTATAATAATATGAGAAAAGTACGTAATAAGTAATAATAACTTTTAGGGTCTTTTGTTTTCCCCTTTTATATACCGGGAACGGGTGGGAACTGTTTAGCACAAAACCCGAACCCGTATCGTTTATTCACCATAACAAATAACAAACTTTTAGGGTCTAGAAAAAACAATTCGTATAATGTTCGTTGTGACGATAAACAGGCACTGAAATAAAAAGCAATACCTACCTGAAGATTATATAACGCAGAAATCCGACAGATTAATTTTAGTCTTTATAGATTGTACAAAATGGTTGAACAGAATTCAATAATTTTACTTAGATGTATATTATTAATTTATGAGTAAATAAATACAGGTAAAAATGTACGATATAATTTCAACTAGTTTTAATCGTTTGTTTGTCGTCTGCTAAGGATTTGTAATTTTATACAAGAACTCTCGCATATATTATTATGTTCACTATTATACAAACTCTTAAATAGTTAAATGGTATGTCTACAGGAGTGCCTTAAGGAAGATAGGACCATAGGGGTAAGGCGGCAGTCTTTATTCGTCTTATTTGTGTATTTAGTACTAACACATTACAWAACAATTCATTAAAATGTATTTTTACCAATTTGGGATTTGTATATTTCTTATAAAATGCTTAAAAGACTTGTACGGAGGGACTAGTTTCTTATAAAATGCTTAAAAAAATAGCAAAGTAAGCTCAACATTTGTTTCATAATTCAGAGAACTAAAATTAAAAATTTTATTTATCAAATATTTTAGGAATTTTTAGATTTTAGTTCTATTCCTAGACTTTCAGACCCATTAAATAACARATTTAAATTTCGATACAAATTATAATGAAGATGTGTTTTTTTATTTTGGATATTATCAATGTCAATAATAGTTTTAATATTTTATAACTATTCAAGACATTCAGGTCACTAAAAAATATTGTAGCATATTATAAGTTATAAGAGGAATTTATGTTGATATGTTATAAATTATAACATATCAACATTAATTCCTCTGATTATTTAAGACGATAAAAGTTGTGAAAATGGTTAATTTTTTTTTGGCTCCAAGTTTTTTTTTTTTTTTGAAACCAAGTAATCAAATAAAATATGATACATATCAAATTAATATTGATTTCCTTTAATATAAAGACAATTAAACTATATTTAAACATTGACATGTGTGTGAACTTATATCAATAATTTTTAGTTAATTTTATAAATTGTAAAAAGATTTTGATATACTTTATTGTACAATGTAGTAGTCTGCAGTATGGGACTGAATCTTGGCATCAAGTAAAAATAACATAGGCTTGTTAAAAAAAATTTAAAATATAAAAATTTAAAAATAAAAGTTCAAATTATAAATGTACCAAATTGGGTTAATAGCGTAGTGTAAAAAAAAGGAAATAATTTTAAATAAAAACAAAAAATATATACACATTTTATATACCTACATTAAACATTCTTAAAACGTTTTAAACCTTAAATTAGTGTATAAAATGCAATAACGATAATGTATTACTATATATTGTGTTATTGTGTAACAATAGACGTAGTATGAAACTTCACCAAAACGGACACCTGAAAATTAAGATACACATATGAAAATTTATTTTTCTTAAACTTAATCAAAAAGTGAAAATTAATAATGTAATCATAATATCATAATTAATTAAGAATTTTAGTAAAAAAAATAAGAAAGACAAAATGGTAATATGATTGATAAAAAATAAATTAATATTTTGGGATTAAAATAATATATACCTATTTATAAAAGTTGATTTAATCATAATACTAGTAAATTATATTAAATTAAATTGATAAGTTTCAATCTGATTAATACTTAAAAATTAAATTAAAATCAAAAACAAAAACCAAAACAAAAAGTATATAATTYATATACTCACCAACCAATGTA